AGCTCCACTGGGTCTGAGCCCACGCTGTAGGCATCGGTCACATAAACACCAACTCCCTGTTTGTCACTGAAAGCTCCCACAACTTCTACTTGGAAGCTGGATTTTTGGAGGTTATTAGCAACTGCACTGACATTTCTGTGCACCCCTACTGAGAGGTTATCAGAGCCATCACCTCTCAGCCAGGTCAGAGCATTTTCTACCAGAGCAGGAAAGGCTGTCAAGTAGCCCTCATGACCCAGGACCACAATCCTTCCACTGCCGTACAGAGAGGCAGCCATCAGCACCTGACCTCGGCTGTTCATTGCTAAAGGAAAGGCATGGTCTCCAATCAGGACCAGGTCACTGGGAACACAGGGTCCCTGTAGGTCCAGCTCCTTCATGCCTCTCATCAGGGACATGTAGGCCTGTTCATGTTGGCTTTTGAACAACTGGTTAGATGACATAGTGTAGAGGATTTTTACTCTGAAGACTGAATGTCGAGGGCAAGTTGTCTTAACAGATTTGATTTCACAGTATTTCCTGCATCAATGTATGCCAAGGTGACCTGTGGAAATAGGGCAGAAAAAAATTCATTGTTTTTTATTATTATTCCAGCACACGTATTCACTTGAGGTGAAACAAAAATTTGCACTCACACAGCAGTTAAAGTAGGTAATATATGCAAAAACAAGAATCATATCCATGGTGTAGTGTGAATAAGATAACAAAAATAAATAAATAAATAAAATGAAAGTATGACTGCTGACTAATGCCTCATAAGTCATGACAAAACATTACACTAAATAAAGCTGATTCAGAGATAAAAAGTTAAATAGCTGCTTTCCACTTGGTACAACCAAGACCCAGATTTTACATATCTCGTTACTACTAAACAACTTTAAAAAAATAAATGCATTCTTTTATTTAATAATATTTTTACCTGCAAGATGACTTTCCGGTGCAGCTCAAGAGTTTTTCAAAGCAGGTGACACAAAGAGCTCTACCTGACAGAATAAAGAATGTGAAAGTGAGTGCCTATTTGAGGAGTTGAGGAGATCATGAGTGGTAGGTTATGATGAGGACAGCCCACAGACTGGCTACTGAGCACAGCAAAAAAATAAACAGAAGCATGGAAAATGACAGCAGTATGTCAACATTCCCATTGTGTGAATGTTGTAATTACTGATACACCCTAAACGAGTATGAAGCCCACAGAGAAACCTGCTCATCCTGCCATCTTTAGTAACTAGTTGTGAACGCTAAAGGGCACAGCGCAGAACTTTCTGCAGGTAAAATAAACAGAAGAATGTGGTGTTTTTAATTCAGTGTGTTTTGCACCATATCAAATTATTGCATCTTTCAGCATTACCATAGCGGGATAGATAGCATAGCGTGATTACTCTTTATCCGTTCATCGTTAGGCTTTAGACTAAATGTTTGGATAATAAATAGTGCTCACTATTTTGCCACACTGAATTAGTCTTCAGATGAGCTTTTAGCTCAAAATGTAACCAGGACAATGTGTTACTTTGTCTTCTTTCCGTATCAACTTTTTCTCCCGTCTCGCCCATTAAAGGACCTGAAAACCAAAATAGTGACTCACCAATGCGGATGTGTTAAATATTTAACTCCTTCGGTGAGTAGCAAATAACGACGTCTTATTACATCCAGTGAGAGTATTATAAATACATATTGTTGTTATATTACACGTTTCAACAAAGACAGAGTCCAAAAATGAGATGGAAATGTGGTCCAGTCAGCAGAAGTTTAGAATGTTGTTGCGCTTTTCTTTCAGATAACACGGTACGGGTGCCGAGTGACTCAGAAAGCCAATGGGATAAAGTTTTCTTTATCCTGCAGTTTTTCACCATCTGACTGCGCAGCCCAGCACAAGTTTTGCTATAT